TCCTAATATTAAAATTGAAATAAATGTGAGCTATACAGATAACTAAGAAAGATGAATAAAACCAAGTGAGATAATTCCTTTCCAACCCACTTACTCCAGTTCAGGGTCATGGTGACTGGAGCCTCTCGTGGCAGCTCACGAGCAAGGCAGGAACCAAGCCTGGAGAGGAGAGGCCGCCCTCCCATCGCAGGGCCCCTCGCGCCCACCCCGCGCTCACGCAGGCCGGGACAGTGCGGGCACTCTGCTGAGCCCAGTGTGAGCCTAGTGCCGGCGCTTTGGGTCTGTTTCATGCTGTGACATCTGGCCAACTTCACTGTCCTTAGCAAGCACATCGAAGGCTTCCAGTTGACGGTCATTATCTGTGTTCCTGAAGATGTAGCCACAGATATTTCTGAGAGCGTGTTCGGAGGCCCTAGCAGGGGAGCGCAGCCACTAGTGTATCCCCGCCCCCGGGACCGGCCCTCTCCGCTAGTGGGGGAGGCTGTCCCCTTCCTCCCAGAGAGCAGCTTCGGGAGGGACGCCCACGGATCGGTGAGGGTGGAAGGGGATCGCCAACCAGACCAGCCAAATCAACCCTGGCGATCAGTGGGGAGACACGTCACAGCCAGATCGCCCTCATGTCCGAAATGCAGCCATACACAATTTTGTTGGCAGCTGGTGTCTGGAATGGCACAACTGAGATACATACCAAACCAGCGAGAGGAACGGTTTATAAACAGCCATCTGTCACAAGACCGCCAGGAGGTAGGGCCCTTGGCTGTGCTGTGCTCTGTCCCCCTGCCTCGTGCATCGAACTCCGCACAATGGGAAGCGCTGCAGCAGGGCCGGGTCGGATGAGTCATCCTGTGGCGCTGCCTGCGCTCTCCGACCCTATGGTCCGGTTAAGTAAATGGCCTTGTAACGAACTCTGTTATGTTCTGTCAAGCTTCTGCTTTGTTGGTTGGTCTGAAGACACCTGATCGGCACCGGCACCGTGACACCGGTGCCCCGCCCTGAGACTGGGAGGACCCCGGAGTGTCCGGAGCAAGCTCTCCAAGACGTGGGGGGGACGGCAGACTCCACAGCGCCGGGCCCGGCCCGGGATCAGGGCTTTCCTCTCATCAACGTCAGAAGGAAACATCGGACAAAATCGTCACTCAAGGACATTCCGTATTTATCTCACACAGACCTCAAACTCAACAAACTCCACTTACTGCACAACTGACCCCAACTCTGCTTCTTCCCGTGTAACTAAGACATACTATTCCGTCTCCAATGTCATGCTCCGCCATTGCCTCTCCTGGGACCACCCCAGCCTCTTCTGTCCGGAACCCCTACATCCACCCGGCTCCCTTTTTCCCGTTTTCCGTCCTTTCGACAGCTTTCCAAATCCAAATTCTCACCATCCCCTTAAGGCCCCTCAGGACGCGCTCCTGCCCTTGTCTCCGGACACTTGCCTCCTGCTCTCTCTGCCATGACCAGCCAGTTTTCTTCCTCATTCCTCTCACCCCTCAGTTGTTAAGGTAACATGCGCCTTCAGGGAAGTCTCCCTCCTCCAGGTCCCCAGGGGACACTCACACAGCTCCCCACGCCCTTCTTCCACAAGCTCACCCCAACTGTAAGCGGCAGGGTTGCCAGACACTAGACTGTGAGAGCCACAGGCGGGGTGTCTGTCCTGTTCTCCACTGCAGTCGGAGCACCTAACTCTGCCACAGCATCCCGAGGTCTGTTGGATGGATGGCACAGTGCCACGCAGTCCCACACAGCAGGGCTTGGAGAGTGAATCCTCTTTTTATACTTTCTCCACAGACTCCTTTGCGAATCGAGCCCTGTTTGGGACTAGGCCCCGCTACCAAGTGAGACACGGCCTTCTTTCTCCTGCCTAGGTAGACACGTTGTGCATTACAGTCCAGGGCTGAAGCGAGAGAAAAGGATAGAAAAAAATGCCTCCAACATGCCAGAGCCGAGCCCAGAGTTAAGATCAATAAAACTCGCTCCATTGAATGATGCACGCCTGTGTGTGTGTATGTGGGGGGGGGGTGGCAGGGTGGCTTTAGAAAAGTGTGTCTGGTTCACAGGTGAAATTGAAGCAATCCCAGCTCCTTTGCAATTGTCCAATTTACAGAGCACAGTTCAAAATGCTTTGCAAACTCACTTGTGTTCTCTGTCAGGAAAGGGTTGATCCAGGCGAGGCTGTCCCTCTCTGAAACACAAAGGAGGGACTAGTGGAAGAACCTACCACATAGTTAGTCAGCAGTGAAGGAAACTACACATCCCAGCAGGCTTGGTTAGAAAAGCTAATATTTAAAAGCTGAGGTTTGGGTAAGGAGCAGGGAGCTCACCCAAGAAAGATGGCGCTGCAGTGTGGGAGTGACTCAGCACGGGCGTCCCGGTGGCTGCCCCTTCAGCTCTGTCCCAGAGCCACAAACCCAGTCTCTCCTCAAGTGCCTCTAGTCAGCTCCCCGCATCCCGTTCTGCAGTCCAAAGTGTGCCTGGTGAGGCTAAATCGCCCTCCTTTTCTTAACCCAGGGCAGTCTCTAGAAGGCCTGAAGATAAACATCCAGGGGAGACAACTGTATCTGTTCAGTTTTGCTGGGCTTGCCACAGACCGCAAATGGGCTTGCCACAGACCGGTAATCAATTCTCTGTAAGAAGCTGCAGTGGCACCACCATAAGCAAGGCTGGCAGAGGACTCAGCATCAGAGGCTCAGGGGACAGTGATGGATGACCATCTCCCAGGAAACTGGCCAGGGTGCCAGCAGCCATGGGCTCCAACAAAACCAGCCAGAAGCACAGGCCACAGGGCAGGTTTTAAGGCTGCAGCTTGAAGAGCTTGGAAGACACACTAGCAAATAATTATTGTCTCAGTTCTTGCGAAGTTCCATGTCCACGTGAAAATTCCAGATTCAGGTTGATTTGCTGACTCCTTTCATCCCATTTCAAGACTGCAGGCCCTTTAGAGGCAGCACTGCGATGACCCTCTTGAACCAAGACCACTGCTCCTGGACTTTAGATACTATGAACTTGAGATATTTTCACTCTTGTCTGATTTCATCCCTTGCCTTGTATCCCAGGGTCTCCCTGATTGTCTATTTCCAGTAGACTCAATGACTCACGGGTCCCTTTGCTTTAATTTGGCTTCTCCACAAGAACCTGCCTACAGAACTCTTTTGCTCCCTCTTGGATGTGCAGGTCTCACATGAAGGGCAGATACTCTACTGAAGCTTCTCTTGCACACACGGTGCCACTCTCCTGAGAAGATGCATCTGACAAGAACCACTTTGCAGTTTCTCACCTGAGCCTTCTGGTGGCTGAACGCTCCAGACCTGGGGATAAGACATTCACATCTACAGTGCCCCCTGCAGAGGAAAGACAAGCCTTCTCAGATGTTTGTAACCGATGGTTAAGCTTGTGTATTTCCCAACCCTCTGCTTCATGGCTAACCTCCCAACCCTGACATGATTCCAAGGGAATACTTTACTTATCGAGGGCGAGTGTGTCTTGTGAGTTCAGAGTGGTCAGAGCACCTCATGGTCTTTTCTCCTGCTCCCTTCCCTCCCTGTCTCGGCTCCAGCGCCCCTTCTGATGTCATCATTCACATACATTAGCTGCAGCTCCTTGATGGCTGGGAATGGGCTGGAGCGGGTGGATTCTTCAGGGTTTGGGCTGAAAGCATCTCTGGGACAGTGAACCAACTACAGGATAGTCTCCAGGGAAGGGAGTCACAGCGGGGGAGGAGGCTGGGAGGGTGCGGGGAGAAGCCAGGCAGGAACGCACTCTGCTGCGTGATCTTATGGCCCCTGTAGGAACTACCCAGGTATAGTCTTTCGGGTCGTCACTGTGAGGGGGCAGGCAGACACACTTCGCCTAGTCGCTAAGTATTTTCCTAGTAGGATAGCCACATTAATTTGGCCAACATTTTTGTTGTTATTTTTCAGAATTTATAATGAAGACAATAACATTGTCCCAGATTAATATTTCCTCATAGAATTTCACAGAACTTTTCCATAAACTTTCACAGAAGTGCAAAACAAAGTGCTGTGGCTTGGAAAACTTGGTGAATTATGGAAAATTCTAATTTGCTTTGTCTCACAGATGGCACTCTGGGCACTGCTGACGTATGTGGCTCACGCAGCAGTTTCCGTGTTTCTCATCTGTCCCCACCCCCTTAACTGTGTAACCCTGGAAGGCTCGTGCGTTTACTTCGGAGCTTCTAAAGTTGAGCACCTTGGTATTTATAGATCATACTGTTTAACTGAAAAGTTACCAGCTTCCCACTTGGGAGCTCCTTTGCTGAAGGTCTAAAGGGGGGAAGCACACTCCCAGAACCAGGTGAATCTTTGAGCTTTGCGGTCACGTCCAACTTTCCACGCACTTCCTTCTCTTTGTTTGAACCCTTGTACATTACCCAGCCCTGGAGTGCAAGGTGCAGTGTAGTCTGAGACTAATAACAGAAAAATTCTAGCATAATTACTGAAGATCCTTTCCTACAAACAGGACGGCTGCTGCCTGTACGGCCCCCTTCACTCGGAAATTGGCATGCGGTGTCCTGGGATGCAACCCCACCACGGCACATATCTGGACAAGCTGAGCAGAGGCTGGATTCCAGCCTCCACTAGCCCCCACCCCCAACGGCGTGCCTTGTGCAGGGCACACAATGTGCAACTAACCACGGTGGCCCTGCCTTTATGCAAACATATCGACCCATTAAATATGAACCAGGGATAAGACATTACCAGAAGTCTTACTTGAAACAGCATTATTTAATACTGTTACCAACCCAGGGGTAATTGAATGCTGAAATCTATCCTAGATTATAGCGGATTAGATAAATATACATAATTCTACTATCTTCTAGAAAAATGATTGTGGTGTTGGCAAATCAAATGGGAAAAGTGAGTAAGCAGATGTGAGATCACCTGGAAATGCTTAGTTCCAGTACCAATTCAGGACAATGTGTTTACTAAATAACTGCCAGCAGAAAAACATCTACACCGAAATGAAACTAGGAAACCGTGTAATTAACTTGAACAGTTTATCTGCTGGTCACATTGATAAATGACTCAGAAATATTACAAGTATGATGATGCTTGACAATGAACAATGCCCAATCAGTACATTAAACATAAATTCATAATAGCTATTTCTTAAAATAGGTTCATGTATTAATAAGCATTAATTTAGCTCTACAAAAAGAAACACGAACTACTTGTGGAAAAAACTTTGAACTTTTCCTTTTGAAAAAAATGTGTACATGACAATGGCGTAGCTTGTTAGCTCCTTTGCAGCTACTGTGTGGCACATTGTAAATGGCGTGAGAAAAATGGTCTAAAGAACTCAGCTTTCTGGAAGTCAACTCGAAAGATGAACGCGACTAACATTTTTGGACTTTGCGGTATGGAGTGGAATTCCCTTTGTAACAAAAACAAAATCACATAATTTTTCAAAGGTTTAGGCACTTTGCAGCAGACTGTTGCCAATCTAGTAAAACTGATACGAAGAAATGATTTTATAGTGTAACTATTTAAACACAAATCATATGATTACATTCCACAAAGTGAGAGACTTCACATGTATAAAATACTTCATTCTGACAAACACGCACTGCACTGCCACAGAAGGGCCGTGGGAGGCACTGCCTGATTCCCACCGTGCAGCTCACTGGCTGAAGGTCTCCCAGAACCAGAGAGTGAGCCGTGGAGGCTTTGCAGTCTTCGTTCTTCTGTATGTTCAGTCAACACTCAGATCGTAGAAATCCTTCTCACCTCTCCGCCCACCTGCTGCAGATGGGGTTTGGCCTGGGGGCTGCAGTTTGCCTACCCCTGTTCTACGGCCATTTGGTATCACAGAACATTTGTGTCATCTTCTGGGTGAAGATCACCTCAGAATGAGTATTCATAGGGATACATATGCTTAAAGATTTCTTTAATACATGTACCCTGCTGCAACCTGTTACCTCTGTAAACGCAACTCAAAAGTTATGATCTGCAGATCTAACATCACCATGTTTCAGAACCTTATGACAATTTGGTGAATATTTAAATTACCGTATTTTAGGACCATAAGATGCACCTAGGTTTTAGAGGAGGAAAATAGAAAAAAATTTTTGAAGCAAAAAATGTGGTAAAATATTTGATAACTTGTGACCCCGCTTCACTGTCCCCCCTCCCACAGTGAGCCAGGTAAGCTACAGACTATAAATGCACCCCTTTCACTCCAAATTTGGGGAGTGCGTCTTATAGTCCAAAAGTAGGGTACCAAGGACTAAATCTTGTTTAAGCGTTAACATTGTGCTCTTTAAAGCAATGAAGCAGCTTTGTTAATGAGGTTGAAAGGACCTGTAAGCAAAGGGTGACCTGTGGTTGATGGTGTAATATTGCCAGCTGCTGAGCTAACCGGAGTGGGGTGATTTTAGGTGACGTGCATGCCTGTAATTGAATTTCTTGAGTTAGGTTTTAGGGTTTTCTAGTAGGAAATGTTCCTGTGATCATTTTCCACATTAGCTACCAATCAAAACAGGCAGTAACTTGCTGAATTTAATGATGAACGAAGGCCTTATGAAACAACACCAGATGTGTAAAGTGTATGAAAACAGCGGTAGGTACTGCTTCTTCCAAATGGCTGAATGTGTGCAAACAGTAGAAATTCTGTAGCTAATAATTGTTTCAATTCTTTGGTGACGCCTTCTCCTCAGCTGCTCGGCCGGCCTACTAGAGGAAGGGCTGGCGTCTGATGGAAGTTGTACCCCTTACGTTTTCCACTTTTCCCTCCATGATGTCAAGGTTTCATGACCCAAGGTGAAAGTCTATGGTCCAAAGCCAGAGTTTTACCTTCAGTTTGACTTTCAAGTGAAGCAGTACCTGCATCTGGGTCCAGGCCACTTCCAAATAAGATACTGGATCATTAATTACTAAACCTAAGTTTAGTACTGCTGTTCTTTAATCTTGTTTTCCAGATTTAAGAAACCCCTTTGACTCTTTTAAGCTATCTATAACTTACAGAATTTAGTAGAGTATATCTTTGTAAACAAAAATAAAACATTTATCTTTTCTCCTTGCCTGATCCCTCCAAAATTTGGAAATTCTTATTTGTACGGCAATACAGTGATTCAAGTGTGTCCAAAAAGACTTTAGTCTCCTTGTAGCAGGACACAACCGGAAGCACTGACTCTGTCACCAGGGCTTTGACTAGAATGTCATTTCTGAGAAGATATGCATTGAATAGGAAGTGACTAGTTTTAAGGGACTGAGCTCGACTCACAAGGCGCTGGCACTTACAAAGCTCTCCTGGAAGCCGGGCCTGGCGCCCTTGCAGGGCTCCCAGCCTGGCCGGTGAGTAAGGTAGGCCGCTTCATGGCACCCAAAAAGCTCAGAATATTTTGGGGACCCCAAGAAGGAGGAATTCACCCAAATCTGCAGGTACTGCAAGTGAAGGCTGATGGTGGGTTCTTGGCTCGGCATCAGCCTTAAGGCTTTAAAATGTCCAATCGGAAATTCCTGGTAAAAGTCCCAGCCAAACAAAGTTGAAAAGGCCTATGTCATCAATTATTACTTTTGTTGCACTTAACCTATCAGGCTAAGTTTGATGAGACTGCATTTGTTTTGCAAACAAAAACAGTCTTACCCTGATTGTCTTTGATAAAAATGAGGGTGAGTAGAGAAAAATTTTGTTTCCTTGGAAAACTAGATTCTAGTCCGGTTCATTCTCTTTGAGCTATTTTATTTCACCTGTTTGTAAGCTGGATCCTGCCATCCTGTGCATTTTTTCAGTAATGAACATTTCCAATTTTCTCCCACTCCTGACTTGGTATCACTAAGAACTAAAACTGCCCTTTTCCTGAAGCCTCGCAAGCTGAGGCTGCAAGACCTGCTGTAACTTGAAAGGATCTATCACTACGACAGTTCGTGACTCTCAGGAAGTTCACCAGAACATGGGTCTTTGAGCTCCAGGAAACAACCATGATGGAGACTGCCACTTCCGTCCTCACTCCGCCACCTCAAGGCACTTCAGGACCATCTGGAGATCCTTGTGGCTGCCCTCTGGACTCAAAGACTGAGTTTATAATCTGCTCCAACAATTCAGTTTTGTTTTCCCTTTTGTTTCTGTGTAAGTCCAAGTCTTTTCTTTTGCAGGTCTTTTGCATCCCAGCTTGTAACGCACATCTCTCCACAGCCACCAACTCAGCTTTTGGTTAAACTCTCTGGGAAGTTTAGATGGGAAGAAAAGGGGTGCAGAATACACCACTGTGGCAAAGAGTCATTTTGAGCTGAAGGCACCTGGGAATGAGCAGATGCAGGAAGAGGCCTTTCTTTTCCCTGAAGTCCTTCTATGTGCCCGAAGAACTCAACTGTCGGAAATCCTCTCCCCCGGGAGTTCCGGACCACACCCGAACGGACAGTCACGAAACTGCCATCTCTCCCACGTGTTCTCCTAAGGCCCCGTTATCTCTCCTAAAAGTCATTTGTTTTCCCGTAAGTGCCCTCTGTCCCTGTCCTTCTCCTTATTAAGCCCCAACTTCTTCCTCCTTGAGGCACATTTTTCTCTGAACTCCCGTGTAGATATGTGACTATGTGTGAAAAGTCTGCCTTCTCCCTTGCTAACCTGTCATTTGCCAGGCCCCCAACTACTGAATCTAAGAGGACAGGAAAGATTCTCCCTCTCCAACAGGAGAAATTAAGTCCAGCAGCATGCTCACACAAACCTCTGCAATACTGACAGCTTATTCCCGCCCAGCTACTACAGTTGGACATTAAAATTAACAAGTTTCCTTATTCCTGAAGGAAGTGCAGCAGTTTAAATAAACAGCACTGAATTTCTCCAGGTGGATGGGTCATGACCATTCTTTTTCTTTTTCATTTTATAGCTCCCCCAGAGGGGTTTAACTACTGTTAGCCAAATTTTAGTCATTATTTCCAAACATTTACAGCAGAGAACAAGCTGTAATTTTTGACACTAAAACAGGACAAAGTTATCAAACTAATTATACTATGGCGCTGATATGATGTAAAATGTAGATAGATACAGATCCGCAAATCACCACACAGCTGCGAATTCCAGTGATAACTCCTCACTGAAATTCCCGTCTCACACGACTGTTCCCCCAGTAGCGCATCATAAACCACAGGGGTAAGAGGATTTCTTCTGTCATGTAAATGTGGAATTGAGAGCTAAAACTCTACACTTAGCAACAAATGATTTTTTCAAGAATAAAGTAACATGGAACCCATAAAATGTATAAAAAACCCTTAAATTATTAAACACTTTTAGGGACATTGGCTAAATTCAGAGAGTGTTTGCATTAAAATGGAACTTTTTGCAGGTATTTAAAAACTTTCATGCATTGTGTACCTGAAATTTTTTGTCTCTTGATTTGCTCTGACTCCTCCCTCTTCTTAGTATAAGAAAAACCCTCTCAGTGCAAGGACAGCCCAGATTACCAGTCCTGGAAACTCTGCAGTAGAGTTTGACCATAATATTTGATTGAATTCTGCTAAACCACATACTACTATTTGGATCTCTTGTTTGTAGACAATTCAAAAATGGATTTTTCTCCATTAACGATCAATTTATCACAAGGACCAAAGAGATGGCTTCAGGTGGTGGCAGTGTTTCACGGAAGTACCACGGTGGGGAGTGGACAGAATGACCAATCTGATTAACACAACCACCTTTCACCTAGTTTTTCCTTTAAAAAAAAGGCCAATGGTTTTTAATTTTTCTGGAGTGAAAATGGCAGCACAGGAAGGTTATTAAAATGTGCAAGCAAACTACCTCTTTCATGTCCTCATAAAGGATTAATGTTTTCTAAAATATAATTTGTCATAGGGCTCACAGATGAGCACCTTTCACACCGGGTGATGTGCAAACAAACCATTATTTGCTTAGAGGAAGCAGATTTTTGTTTGTTGTCTTTTTTTTTGTATATTCTAGTTAACAGGAAGTCTTCCAAGAAAATAAAGGGAAGGGAGAGGGGAAGTAATCCAACCCTACAGTGCCCACCCAGAATCCTAGAAGGAAAAAGCAAAACCATTGAAATAAAGGCGATTTAGCGATGTCCCAAAGGGTAGCAGTATTTCCAAAATACTTGTTGTGGCACAGATACAAAGTCTTAAGAATGCTAATACTTAGGTTGCCAAAAAGTGAGCCACGTGGGGCAAGAACTTGGAAAATGAAAGAGACCAGATTTAGTCTCTGCCTTTTGCCCAACACTTGTAAAATAGTTTGATGTTGCCTGTTTTCCTGATGGAAACAAAGGTCTTTGAAAAATCGGCCACAATGTTACAAGTCACCCAGTGGCCCCCGAACTTCTCCCATGCAGTGCGGGAGGGCTTCATTCAACAAGCAGCGGCTGGGGCCGCTGCCAGGGTGTGCTCCCACTCACTCACTCTGACTTTAATACTGTAGAGTCTCAGTTGCCCAGTGTTTAGCAGCATTATCATTAGGGATGTGCCTGTTTCTATACATAGATTCTTTAAGCAGAAGTATATCTTGAGTAAAAAGCACAGAAGACAATGGTGAGAAACAAATGGAACTCACTAAAAAATGTAAGATGGCGGACAGCCTGGGTAACTGCACCTGAAATGCAGCCAGAAGTCAGAATCTCGTGGTAAAAGAAAGAACAATCTCCTGGGCTGTGTGTTGCAACTGTTTAGTTTCATGTTTTCCTAAGGCACGACCACAGTTCTTTTTTATATTTATGTTTTGGCAAGTGCTTTTCTATCTGGAGGATCATAAAAGTGGGCGGAAGTATCCGCCTAACGGCACGTTAGCATGCTAGGTAAGGAAAATACTATTTGGACTAAAACTAAGGCAAGTAGGTGAAAAATGAACAACATTTGTATTGGTTTTAAATTTGTACTAAGGCTACTTACTAAATACTGGGGAAGTGACGGAAGTGTTTAATATCTTTGCGTAAGAAAAAAATGAGCTTCCTTTTGAAGCTCGTAGTAATGATCTGAAGTTTATAATAATGTATAAGAACAGTCATAAAAATGCTAATGGTGTAGAGCTACAAATATGGTAATATATGAGCAAAGGGGTCAAATGAAATTTTTAAACCTGGACAGGTGTTAAAAGTGATACAATTTGTTATACATTTGAATCCAAATTAGCACTAGCTGCCTTACAGTGAGATTTCACTGCCATTTTTCAGCACTTTAACTTTTGGGAGTTCTGTTACAAGTTCAAGTAAGTGAGAGCTGTTCCCAACTCTTAAATCTATTTCCTTCAGAAAAATGAAGGAGCAGATATTCTAAATAATAAGTTTTATGTAAATAGGATCCTGATCATTTAGCTCTAGTTAACCCAACACATTTTCTATGAAAATGGAAAATACTGCATAATTTAAAATGTCAGAGTATAATGATATTCACTGGTAACTTCAAATAAGTTATGCCAGGAGGATGGAATATGGGTAGACCAGACCATGTTTGCCTAGCCATAAAGTAACGACTTGAAGATCTGCCAAGATCAAAGGCAACAGAACAACCACCTCTAACGGTCTGCAGATACAACACTCTGCACAGGTGTCCTCATGGCCTTCATAAAGGCTGCAAGATGACCCTCCTGCTCTGACTGGCTTTGGACACACCCAGACAAGCCAGAGCTGGGGTGTGACAACCCAACCCAGTGGCAGGTCTGAGCTTGCTTATGACACCCTCTGATTAGCACAGAGGCAGACAGTGAAAAACTACCAGAATCCCACTGATAGCTCTTTAAACAAAACTAAACAGAAACCTTGGAAAACCAACTGTCATGAGGTTACTTGGACAAAAATACAAATCAAGGCTGACACTGCTAAGTGCTAGGTCATAGCTGGTCTTCTGGAGATGGGGTGTTGCCAGTATAGTGATTCTGTTATTTAACCAAATATTAAGAAAGTATAATTCACATGCAACCCTTGTCACAAAAGGAGGAAATGGTAAATTTGCTATGATCAGCACAAACTGTTAACCTGTTAAGAAAAGCCCACTTTTTCTAGCATTCAAGTATACATAGACTTATCATGTCTGTTTCTTTTTAACATCTCAGGGTGAGGGTGAGGGTGAGGAGGAGGTAACGACATAAGCTGAACATCCAATGCGCCCCACCCCTCATTCTCCGCGTGGCTGGCAGCATCAGTCAGAGTCACCCTCGGCTGTGATGGTCATGATGCAGTTGAACATGTAGATCTTGAAGGATCTCCTTATTCCTTTGACTAGGCCTATGGCAGGTATTTTTGTTGTTGTTTTCTTGGTGGAATCATTTATCTGTGCTTCCTGAGAGGCTCCAACAGGATCACGGGCCAGATTCCGAAGAGAAACTGTTTGGAAACAAATCAGGACAAAATGAAAGAAGATGAAAGTGTTCCATTTCATCCCTGAAAAAATGGGGAAAAGCGCATGGGCTATGCCTATAGTGCTTGGTAGGTTTGCTAGTGATTTGTCTTGTTAGACGTGCCTGAGCACAGCATATTTTTTCAGGCTTGTACCAGATTTCCGAAACTATGTTTATTTAATTTATTTAAATGTATTAAGCATCTATTTGTCAAGCGTAGAGCTGGGAATTAAAATAGCCTCAGGTCCTTAAAACAACTCTGCAATGTAGCTATTAACAGGTCAATTTTATTGTTGAAGAAACTAAGGCTGAAAGAGAAAAGTCTTGCCCAAGGTCACAACGCATTAAGTGGAAGAATTAAGACTCAAAAGAGTATCTGGTTCTGAAGCTTGTACCCACTCCCCACCTCTCCACCCCACCCCACCTCCCCAGTGCTTCCTCTCTCCCAACACACACCCTGTGAAGTGGACTTACCTTCACTTTTGGCCTGCATCTCAGGTAAAGTGTTCTTGTATATACACTGAAAGAAAAGAGGAGAGGAGAAAGCTGTTCATACTGATTTTTAATCCATGTGAACTGGTGTACAGACAAATTTAACCACAGTGTCTACGTATATACAAAGAACAAGCAACATTGGTATATCTTTTGTTCTTTTAGCAAACATATATATATTTAATCCTCACCTGAGGACATGTTTCCACTGATTTTAGAAAGATAGAGAGAGGGAGAGAGAGATCAAAGTGAGAGAAAAACACTGACTGGTTGCCTCCTGCACGTGCCCCTACTAGGTCTCAAACCCACAACCTACGCATGTGCCCTGACTGGGAATTGAACCAGCAACCTTCCAGTGCACAGAATAACGTTCCAACTGAGTGATGTGACCAAGGCCTGGCAACCACTTTTTCTGAGCACCTACTCTGCACAGGGCACTTGGCAAGGTGCTAAGGGAGACAGAGAAAGGATCGGCTCTCAGACTGTGACCTCAGGATGTTGCCAGCTTTCCAGGGAGCATTTTATTCACGCCCCATAGGATGCAGGTTACAGCTGCTAGTTTCCTCTTTGAAGACATATGGTAGCAAGGATTAGAATATTCTTAGAATATTTTGGAAATGGTTATATCAGCTCTACAGGATTACAATACAGGTACGAAATAAACAGAAAGATAACAGCTTTTTTCATAGTATCCTTTAAAATGAATCACCTCTGAAAAGATCAGAATCTAGTAGCAGTGCATACAGCAAAGGTAAATTTAAATTTACCGTGAAAAATTCATTAAAATGCACATAACATACAACATACATAGTTTTGTGTACAGCACACTATTTAAATATATTTGAATAATAACATACAGTGTATCACGTGTGCATGTGCAAGACACAATGTTAGAGTGTGAAAATTTTTGTTTTACTTAAAATTTTATTTATTTATTCTTAGGGAGGAAGCAGGAAGAGGAGGAGAGAAGCATCAATGTGTGGTTGCCTCTCATGAGCCCCCACCAGGGACCTGGCCCACAACCCAGGCATGTGTCCTGACTGGGAATCAAACCTACAACCTTTTGGTTTGCAGGTTCATGCTCTAGCCACTGAGCTACACTAGCCAGGCCCAAATTTTCTCTTTAAGAGAAAGAAAAGGTGAAAGAGCATGTATACTTGAATTTGTGCAATTTCATGTGACTATAATGTCACTCTACCCAAAACCAAAACTGTAAAGAGGAGCATCAATATTATGAAGAATACTCTACTATCCTAAAATATAACCCCCCTGACAGTTAATCTCTAAAGGAAAGTTGCTACCTTTTCCCTTTTCTTTAGGAAAGAATCCTGAACTGGAACACAGAAGCCTGGATTCCAACCCTTGCTGTAGCCTCCACCACTCCCAACAGTACCTACAGTACTGGGGCAAGTACTGAGCCAGAGCTTTCTACACATTTGATTCTTAAACAACCTACCAGGTGGGCATTACTGGTCTTGTTTTACACATGAGAAATGGTCTCAGAAAGGTCGAATATTCCATTCGAGGTGCCACGTCTAGTAAATGCTTGAAACAGAACTTGAATTCAGGTTCTGGCTCACCGTAAACCAATCTGGCATACTCTGATTGGCCAGTGACCTTGAGCAAGTCACTTCTCTGGGCCTCAGTTAGCTTCACCACAAAATGAAGACAATGTATTAGAGGGTTTCTAAGGTTTCCTAGACTGACTTGGGGAAACAGAGAAACTGGGCTCGAATCCAGGCAATGACACGAAGACCATGTGCGAGGTACACGACTGCTATGAGCTTGTCTTTCCTCACGTAAAAAGCAATACCGGCCTTACAGGACTGTCATAAGGGTTAAAGGAGGTAATATCTACCATGTGCCTAACCCAGATGAGGTTATGAGCATAAAGTTCAAACTTTTTATTATGGAACACTTCGAACATAAATAAAAGTACCTATCGCATAAAGTTGTTAAAAATCTTATCCTCTCAAATTTGCAGCATCTGTAATGACGTGTCCGTTTACATTCCTGACACTGGTTATTTATGCATGGTCTTCCTCTTCTCTCCTCGTTTAATCTTACAGATATGTCGGTTATTCAGTTACTGTACCTCAGCTCCAAATCCGCCCTTCCTACTCTGATGGTGAGGCAGGAGCTGAGAATACGAAGCACGTTTCTGCACCGACAAACGCTCCCTGGCAGGCTCTTCTGACAGAGGGCACTCAAGAGAGACTGCAGAGCTGGAGGAGAAAGAAGGGGCTTCTTCCTTCCTGTTTTATTTGCTTTTTAAAACTATTTTAATTTTTTTAATCCACATCCAAGGACATTTTTTTTCCATTGCTTTAGAGAAAGAGGAAGGGACAGAGACAAATATCAGTGTGAGAGGGGAACACTGACTGGTTGCCTCCTGTCTGCGCCTGGACTGGGGAATGAACCTGCAACCTAGGTACGTACTCGCACCAGAATTAAACCCACAACCCTTCGGTTACAGAACAACGCTCCAGCCAACTGAGCCACACCGGCCAGGGTGTTCCTGTTTTATTTTAACGAGGGCCTGTTGGCCTGTGGTTCCTGTGGGCAGCATCCTGACAACGCTTTGTCACTCTGGCAGCAGCTCTTTGTTCCTCCTGGAGCAGCAGCGCCCTTAAGAGGCCCGGGTTCCCTCCCAGAGGGGTCTTTCCTCTGAGCTCAGATACCAGCACCAGCTGACTGGTACCTCCTCTTCAGACTTCAGTGTGGAGACCCTAAAATCTTCAGTATTCTTCCCCTCACAGAATCTAAGTCCCTTGTATTTAAGTTTGTGACTTTGACAACAGAGTATGGAGAAAGCAACACCATATGTACTCTGAAACCAGGTTCTAAAAGGCCGATTACACTGAGGATAAAGAGGCCACATGCAGGCAGCTCTAGTTTAAAACAGCTCCTAGATGACGGCCAGTATCAAACGACACCCCAAGTAAGTGAGTCATCTTGTACATCTATCCCACCTGAAGTCTACAGATGACTGCACTCTGAGCTGACATTTGACACCAACGCTACGATAGACTCCGCAAGAGGACGGCCTGGCCAAGCCCTCCCAAAGTCAAGACCCACACTACTAGGAGCAAAGAAGACTGGTTTATTTCTAACTGATATGTTTGGGGTTGCTGTAGGACATTAATAACTGACATGTGCCACTCCAACTTTTTTTTCTGGAACTCCAATTAACATCACTTTATCTTTCATTTCTCTTTTTTTAAGCATTTTTAAAAATTTAATTATAGTTCAAGTACAGTTTTCTCTTTTACTCCCACCCAGCCCACTCCCGCAGTGATCCCCACCTCCCTCCCATTTCTACCCCCCTTAGTTTTTGTCCATGTGTCCTTTATACCTGTTCCTGTGAAGCCTTCCCCTTTTCCCCTGAAATTCTCTCCCCTCTCCCCTCTGGTCCCTGTCAGCCTGTTCTCTATTTCAGTGTCTTTGTTTTTTTTCTGCTTGCTTGTTTGTTTTGTTGTTTAGCTTCCTGTTAAAGGTGAGATCACATGGTATTTGTCTTTCAATGCCTGGCTTATTTCACTCAGCATAGTGCTTTCCAGTTCCATACATGCTGTTGCAAAGGGTAGGAGCTCCTTCTTTCTTTCTGCTGCATAGAATTCCATTGTGTAAATGTACCATAGTTTTTGGATCCATTCATTTACTGATGGGCACCTAGGTTGCTTCCAGCACTTGGCTATTGTAAATTGTGCTGCTATGAAGACTGGGGTGCATAGGTTCTTTTGGATTGGTGTTTCAGAGTTCTTAGGATATAATCCTAGCAGTGGAATTGCTGGGTCAAAAGGAAGATCCATTTTTAGTTTTCTGAGAAAATTCCATACTGTTTTCCATAGTGGTTGTACCAGTCTGCAATCCCACCAACAATGGATTAGGGTCCCCTTTTCTCCACAACCTCTCCAACACTTGTTGTTTGTTGCTTTGTTTATGATGGCCATTCTGACCAGTGTGAAGTGGTATCTCATTGTGGTTTTAATTTGCATCTCTCTGATAGCTAGCAATATTGAGCATCTTTTCATGTGTCTCTGGCTCCTCAGTATGTCCTCCTTGGAGAAGTGTCTGTTCAAGTCCTTTGCCCATTTTTTAATTGGGTTGCTTGTCCTCTTAGAGTTATCTTTCATTTCTCTTAACCCCAATTCCATACTTTTGTCTCTGATGCATGTCCGTAATATTTCCTGATCTTCCACTTCACTAGTTCTCTCTTCAATTGAGTTTAATTTGCTATTAGTCATATATATTGAGTTTTGCATTTTTGTTACTACAGTTTTCATTTCTAGAGATTCTTATTTGGTTATTTAAAAATTTTGATTGAAAAAGTTTCTTTTTCCTTGAACTCATTTTTTAAGTTTGATATATATCTTCAAGCACAGGAATCAACATTATTTTTATAATCATTGATAGTTCTAATATATGATTTTTTGCAGGTCTCTTTCTATTATACTATTTCTGTTGGGTTCTTGCTCAAGGTGTTTGGTTATTTTTGTGTGCTTGGTTATTTTTGACTGTACACTAATCACTCTTCTTAAAGATAGCTTTTGAAAGTTCTTTGGACACTGTGTTAAAAAAGTCTTTCTTCAGAGGGGTTTGCTGTTTGCTTTTGCCAGACACCTGGGGGAATAATGCAGGTCTAAGACAGCCTTCACTGAAGTTAATGCCATGAGGTTCTGCAGTTCACTTAGGTAGATGGGCTGCAAATCTTTGTAAGAAATGGATGATGGCCATGACTTCCTTCTTTTTCTTGCTCTGCTCCATACCAAAACAATTTACTTGGCAGGCAGCTGAGGGTGAGGTAGAAAGTAAGTTTACCCCTGCTTCACCCAGCTTGATGTGAGGAGCTCCCATCACTCTTCCCTGGGCTAACTCTTTTCCTTTGGTGAGCCCTAGGCCTTGATTTCTGCTCCCGTTGTTCCATGAAGCCATCGAAATCAAAGCTTACACTTGATGGACTGACAAAAATTCTGCTGGTCCAAAGCAAGTGTGGTGTTCCTTTTTAGGTACCTTCTTTTCCTTAGA